TCCACTGTTATTTTAAAGTTGTAGCATCGGTTTTGATTCTCAGAAATTTTTCCTTTGGTCAAGTATATTTTTTGAACTGGTGACATTTGCATCTGATACATCTAGCATACCTCTGATATGCTGATATGCATCTGATCCCTCTGGATCTGTTTCAGTTCTTTTTCTCTTGGTCCTGTTTGTTGTTACACTCTTTTTTGGTTTGTTGGTTGCATGTTGGGCACTACGTTTGGAAAACCCTAGAGGTGCTGAGTGATGCTGTCTTCTCCAGGCTTTCCTCTGACGTCGACCTCTCGTGGGGACAGAGCTCTGTGTTCAGCTCAGGGCCTGCGTGACTTGAGGCTGGGGGGTCCTTGTGAGCTGAGTCTCAGCAGCCTTCACCCACCTTCCCCGCCGCCCCCACCCGACCCCAGGGAGGAGCCCTCCAGCGTCTCCGTCTGGAAGCCTGGGGTGCCTCCCAGGGCCCCTCCTTCTCGGCAGGTCCTGAATCCCACCGTCCACCTCCTGAAGACCACGAGGTGATTGATACTCAGCGCTCAGCCAGTTTGGGCAGGGTGTTGGGTACGTTTTCTGTGCCTAACTTTTCTTGGGGAGACTGGTCTCTACCATCGGGACTGACTTGTCAGGCCTGCGCTCATATGTTTGTCTTCCCAGCCCGAGGAGCCGTCCAGAGCTGTGTTAGCCAGTCCCCTCTGCTGGACTTTCCCCCACCTTTTCTTCGCAGAGTCAGCTTTGTTCAGATGCCCCGGGGGAAGGAGCGGCCCCTCAGTCTCCAGCTGCCTCACTGGGCTTCCCTTTTGCTTGAGATCTTGGATTGTGGCTGCCTGAGGACCTCTTTTAAAATGTATTTAGCTTTTCTAGCTCTGGGTAGGCTGACCTACAAGCTGCTTGCGTCTGTAACTGGAAGTGGGGAAGCCCTGGGTGTCTTCTCTCATCTGAAGCCACATGTAAGCATCACACTAATTATACTGATCATCTTTATTTGATACAGGGAAAACAAGAGGCAGGGGTCCTTGCTTAGTACCCACGGTTGTGTTTCGGATCAGAATCCCCAGCTTGCCCATGCTCTTTCAGTGCCACTTGAATTTGGGAAGAAGGTGGAGCAAGCAGCCCACGCAGCCTGGGGACGGAGGAGCCGGTGTGCCCGCTTCCCCTGCGCCTGCCAGCCCAGGGCAGGCCTTGCGATGACGGGCTGCTGGTGGTGGAGGAGAAGCTGAGGAGGGCGGGGCTGCGTGACCTGTTGTGTGATGGGGTCACATGTGGGTTTTGTTTTTCAGTTTGAAAAATGACTGCTTTTAATCTTCCCTTCAGTTTCACTTTAAGGTTGAAAATGAAGATTTTATTCTTCAAGTTGAGCACAGTGATTTTACAGTCTTTTTGAAAGCCACAGTTGAGGTTTTCAAAAGACGTCTCAGAGAACTGCAGTAGATAAAGCAAAAAAAAAAGAGAACGTGTTCAGGGTGCACTGCAGGTGGGACCACAGACTGTACCCTGTCTCCCCAGAGTCTGTCATTGCTGAGACAGGCAGATATAGGACCCCAAGCACCCCGGGGACTGAGTGCTCAAGTGACGGCAGAGGACCAGGCTGAGCCAGGAGCAGTGTGGGCTATGCCCTGCTGCGTGGAGAGCCGCGAGGCTGGGAGTGGGGCCAGGAGAGGGGGTGGGAGACTTGGGTGTGGAGGGCGGGGAAGCCCCTGGAGGGATCTGGGAGGTGCTGGCTGTCACGGCTTGAGGCAGGGCCACCCCTGAACCTCCACCGTGCAGCCCCCATGGGGCCGAGTCGTCTGGCGGCCCAGGGTCGAAGTTAAGAGGGCGAGCTCACAGCAGGTTGAATGAACCCCTGTCCCCACTGTGGGTTCATTGTGAGCGCCCGGAGCGAGGTTGGTCAAGCGCTTGCTGAGCTCAAGTGAGGGAGCCAGTCAGGGAGGACCAAGCTCAGGGTGAGAGTGAGGGGCAGCCAGCGCGGGGAGTCCTCCTCAGCCACGTGGGTTCTGGGCACACCCTTGAGTTCAGGGGTGCCCTTTCAGTAGCCTCACTGCAGGCTTGTTTTGGGGGTGGAGGAAGCAGAAGCCCACTTAGAAGACGTGCTCATCCCTAGCAGTGGTGGTTTCTGAAGCAGTTTATACTGTTCGGTTTGACTGTGACCCAGTGACCTTGCAGGGTGACGTTTGACGGTGGGCCTGAGCTGTGGGCACGGCCTTCCTTCTCCCGTACCCAACACACACCTGCCATCTTTTTGGCAGCCCCTCCCCACTCTCTGCACCCTTGATGGTGGGCCGGAGCCCAGCCCCCCTGTTACCACGGAGCCCTTTGTGACAGAGTGGCTTCCATGATCCGGGCTCCCGGGAGACGTGCTGGAGGCAGAGCCTTCGTGCCATTTCTTCTTGAGACAGCGGAGCTGGTGGTCATAGTGTGAGAGCAGTGGTCATAGTGTGAGAGCAGTGTGAGAGTGGTGTGTGTGAGAGCGGTGTGTGTGAGAGAGCGGTGTGCGTGTGAGAGAGCGGTGTGTGAGAGCGGTGGTCATAGTGTGAGATCGGTGGTGATACCTCAGGCGCTCAGGGATCTGCCTGAGAAACAGCAGGTGCCCCCAAGTGGGGGGGTGCCCCCAAGTGGGGGGCTGCCCCCATCCGCGAGGATGGGTCGCAGAAGGGCCAGCCTATGGGCGCTTTTCCCATGCTGCAACCCCAAGAAAAAGGCCAAGACAAGAAATAAGTCGGCCTCATCCCACGTCCTGGAAGCAGAGTGCCCGGAGGTGAGAGCAGCCGGGGGATGGGCCCGTCGGGTTGGCCCTCACCCGGCGAAGAGTTGGGATTGTGTTTTACTTTGTTCGCATGCTCGTGGGCCCTGCCGGCCAGGGCGTTCTGGCCTCCTGGGCAGGATCGACCCCAGCAGGTTGACCTTGTAAGAGGCTGTGCAGGTGCTACGTGGACGATGGGCGGGGGCCCCACAGGAAGGGAAACAGGAGGAGTCACTGGGGCACGTGGACTGAGCTCTAGAGTCAGTCCTTGGAGCAGAAAGGAAAGGCTAAGCCCCTTAAAGTCTCTCTTCTTCCAAACAAGGGATCCACTGGCTGGAGGAGTCTCTGGGGCGTGTGGGTCGAGCTAGAGAGTCAGTCCTTGGAGCAGAAAGGCTAAGCCCCTTACGTCTGCCATCGTCCAAAGCACAGAGCAGTGCGCCCAGTGTTCTAATGACGGGTGCCTACTGCTCCTGTGTATAACATACACCCTCACAGCCTCACATGTCTACTACATGCCTCTTACAAAGTGCTGGGCAGTGCTCTAGGTGCTGAATACTTAGTATGTAGTAGGGGATACGTAGCCCAGGATTTTTTGTATTTGTGCAAAGAACAATAGAAGAATGAAAGAGTCCGTGTGGTTGGTTTGAGCAAGTTCACCACGTGGACGGCCCCGCGTACGTGCATATTGTGATAAAATACATATAACATGAATTACCATTTTAAGCAGTTCATTGAATGACTGGGTGACTTCAGTGGAGTCAGGCTAACAGACGGCCTTGGGGTGCCATCAGCCTCTTTCCCAGAGGAACACTCCAAAGCCTGGTGGCCTTGAAGACCTTACCTTTCTTCTTCACTCTCCCCAGAGGCTCTCGGTCACTTGTCTGTGTGTCGTTTAAGAATCTTTTTATCCACTTTGTTCCTAAGTGTATGTTTAGGAAAGTCTCTCAGACTTCCCTGGGTCTTGAGAAGGCAGGCTTGGATTCCGGGTTCTCCCCTACCGCACAGGCTTGGATTCCGGGTTCTCCCCTGCCGCGTGCCTGCCAGGTCGAGATGGAGGCTGCAGGCCAGTCTGAGTTGTAGGGGTCTGTGTGGTCTTGGGGTCAGTGGAGCCCCTCTTCTCCAGAGGGGCAGGGAGATCCTTTGAGTGGAGCCTGGAGAGACTGGACAGTGTCAGTCTTCAGAGTCTCGCTCTCTTTAACATTTGTGTTTGCATTTAGTTACTTCCTCATTGACCTGTTTTCTAGGAGTTCTCCACACGTCAACAACTGAAGGCATGCAGGGAGCAGCTTCTTACAAGAGAAGCAGAAATCGCGCAGCTAAAAGCAGAAAGGAGCAACACCAGGGTCAGTAGGCGGAGTCTCACGTGTTGACCTGTGCCCCGAGGGGGTCACCGCTGGGCTCCATGTTGCTGTCTTTAAAGTCTGTCTGGTTTTCAAGTCATTTTTCACATCTTCCCACTGAGAAGACCGAGGTGGATCAGTTCGGGGTTCTCATACCTTGCTTCAAATTGATGATGAGAGCTAATGTAATTTTTGTACATTTGAGGGGAGAGTTCTCTTAGCTTCCATTTTTGTCCATGCTGCAGTTTGTGTGGGATCTTAGTTCCCACACAGGGATTAAAACCCATGAGCCCTGCAGAAGTGTGGAGTGTTAACTCCCGGGCCACTGGGGAAGTCCACTCTAACTTTAGACTGAACTGGCGGGATTCCGACATGCCTTAGCATGGTTTCGGTCTTAGCGTGAGGCTGAGAGGCGTTCTCGGCCCTGAATTCAAGTGTGAGGTTGAAGGTGCTCCTTTGGCCCCACCTTGCAGCTGCTGCTGGAACACCTGGAGCTCCTGGTTTCCCGGTACGTGCCGTCCCTCCGGATGATGGCGGGCACGCAGCAGGCGCAGTCCCCAGCCAGCGTGACCAGCGAGTTGGAGGTGCTCAGGGCACTGAGATTGCTGTTTGAGCACCACAAGGCCCTGGACGAGAAGGTACCAGCCACGTGGCCTTCCTGGATTTGTACACTTGCTGCCTGGTTAGGTGGACGATGCATGTGTTTATGGAACTAGTTGACTTTTGAGCTTTTTGAATTCTTGTAAATACAGTTTTTCTGTAAGAACTCAGAGTTTTAGATGGTTAAAATGCATTGCCTGTGTACATGCTCAGACATGTCCGAGTTTTGCGACCCTGTGGATCATAGACCACCACGCTCCTCTCTTCATGGGGCTTCCCAGGCAAGAATACTAGAGTGGGTGTGCCATCTTCTACTCCAGGGGATCTTCCCGACCCAGGGATCGAACCTGCCCTCTCACATTGGCAGGCAGATTCTTTACCACTGAGCCACCTGGGAAGCCCCCAGTTAAAAAGTATCAGTTGGCATAAATGTCGCAAGGTTTATTTTATTCTGTATATCAATTTGCAATTAAAAACTGGGTAATACAGTTCTTTTAGAGTCAATTCTGAAACTTAGAATTTAAAGCTGCTAGTAAGCAGATTTTCTTCACCTTAAGGTCAATGAGAGACATTAAAGGTGTTTCTGTTACCGTAACCATGGAATCAGGTGAGGGTACAATAAGAAGTGCACTAACGTATGTACACACATCAACACACAGTGATTCGGCCCCTTTATTTCAGTTGAGAGAGGAACTACGAGCAAGAACGTGAAAGGTGTAGTTCGTTAGAAAAGGAGTTAAGAACCAAAACACAGAGAGGTAAGTTTGATCAGTCATCGTAATTTCAGTTAAGGATTCGTCATTTGTATACTTTTCATTTCACAAAGTATGAAGGCTGTGGTGGTGGACATCAGATGTTATTTATCTTTGAAAAGGGGCGCAAGGGCCTGAGGAATAACCCCAGGGAGGGCCGGGGCCTAGAGCCAGGGAGAGACATGTTGGAGGGCGGCGGGGTGGGCAAGGAGGGGAGTGGGCTTGGTGACATGGGCTCCTCCAGCCCCCGGGGAGCTGCCTGGCACGCAGGGCACAGCGCCTGCTTGCAGAGAGATGGAGAGCAGGCGGGACAGGGACAGCAGAGGCCGCTCCCAGGCAGCCCTCAGAGAACCCAGTGGGCACTGCA